GGTCGCTGCATCACCTGTTCGACAACGTCTGGGTTCAGAGTGGGGGACTTGGAGTTCAGGAGGGTATTGAAGAATCTCCGCCACCGCTTGAGGATGGCATCCTTGTTCCGGAGTAGCACGCCGTTCTCGTCTGTAACGAACTGCTGCCCCCCAGCTTGTCTCCCGCTGAGGCCCGTTGACCGCTTGAGGTGTTGGTACAGCCCCCGCATGTCGCGGTCCTGGTAGATCGCTTCGAGCTCCGTCACGTATCTTTCCAGGTGGTCGTAGATGCTCGTTGCGATTGTTGCCTTCACCCCCTTGCACGTTGCTTTGAGGATCCTCCACGTTGCTGCGTTCGGTCCGGCCTTGAAGGTTTGTACCCTATGTTTTTTTTCCCGAGACGTCGTATGTGCCGGGTTTGGAGACCACGGGCTCCCCATCTTTTGTGGACTTTGGACTGGAGCTAATGCGAGAAACAACAACAACAACAACAACAAACAAACACCGAATTGAGGGGTGCATCACGCACGCACGTACGTAGTACGTGCCTTCGCGATACACTGTAGACATTCATGACAAACATTCATCTCAGTCATGGCGTGAAGTAAACAAAGAGGAAGCGATGTGGCAGCACCACTTCGCTACGGCCTCGCGCAGTTCGGTATTATTTGTTTCAGGTACTTGCTGCTGTTGTTGTTGTTACTGTAGTATCTCCACAAGTTTGCTGGGGGTACCGGAAAAGTGTCTCCATATCCGTAGGGTCCGCACTTCCCGGCAACTATCTCCCTTGTCTGGATCCTCGTCATGACGATGCTGCCAGGTCAACGTTCAATTATTACCCCGTTTACAGCATCAACCCGATTGCTATCGGTCCGCAGATATATCATCCAGATAACCTCCCCGAAGGCTTCATTCCACTCTGTCCCTGCTTCCGAGTCACGTGAGTCTTTCGAGGCGCATCACAGGGGTACAGTCTTTCCCCCCAAGACAGCACAAGTGCTATTCACACCAATCGGCAACCATCTATTTCCTGCCGGTGAGTTCGTAGAATCCACTCTATCGGCGATTGCTGGCTCTGGCGTTGTGTTCACCAGGATGAAACATTTTCAGAAAATTTGGGACGAGGAATATTGAGCGATGGCGCCGAAGGCTCAAAATGACAAATCGGCAACATGATCCCTCTCAGATCGCTGTGACGGTGGCGGCGTCACCATCCCGCTGGCCCACAATGTTCCCGTACTGGTTTGGCGAATGTATTGCATCGCGCGTAAGCTAACAACACGTGATGCCGAACACGGATAATTTTTTCTTGTCCGTCCCACGCGAAACGCCTAGTAATCTAAATAGATAGATAATCAGATACTCCGAAGGCCTCTACATTGAACTGTTGTTGGAGGAAAACAGCACCCTGGTGAGGCTGTAAGTAGAAGTGCGATTGTTGTGTTCTTTTCAGCAAACGTCAGATCCGCTGAATCGAGTCTTCTCCAACACAAGAGGAAAAGGTATATTACGCAAGTAGTGTCTCTTCTTCCACGGGCGTGGCACAGTGCGCAGCGGGGTATCAGCAGCGTGTGCTACACCCACACCATGTTGACACTTTTCTGAGGTGCACTGTCGTAGACGTGAGTCTACAGCCATAACGTAATTTGATCCTTCACAAGGAAATAGACGCTGTTGTCTATTGTTGTTGTTGTTGTTTTTCTTGACATAAAACTCGTGTCCGTTGCTAATCCCAAAATCTAGCAAAGACTCGGTCCGTGGTCACAAAAATGCTAGAGCCATCAGAAGATCTAAAGAAAACACACACTATTACAGCAAGAGAAGGGTACGCAAGTCCGAGGAGGTACACCTATACTGCATGCGAATACAGGAAGTTCCTCCCGGCTGAGGGCTTATGAGAATGTTCGAAAGGTAACCGTTGAAGTGTGGTTCGCAGATTGCTGTGCGCTCCACATCGGCCTTAACCCCCCCCTTCTTGTCGTTGGGATCGTAAGGTACACGGACTACGGCAGCAGGGTGTTGTGTATCTTGTCAGTCGGGTAAGCGGGTTCTTGGTTGCCGGGTGTGGTGAGGGTGAGGTGCACCAGGTCACTGGGTTTTGCCGAGTCTACGACGCTTGCCGAATCTGTCTAAAAACCGGGCCGTGATTGATTGGTGGAGTTGTTGTAAATCTCGGAGACACGACTTTCCGACGTCGATAGCGCTGCAGGCAGTTCGCCTCGAAAACGTTTGGCACGGCGGGAGGGCCCTAGCAACACAGGGCATTGGTAGGTTATGTCTCTGCGCGAGACGAGGTCATGGGTGGAGAATCAGCAAAAGAAAAGGGCTTGAGTCTCACGGCTTATCACGGCTTGGTCGAAGGCAGTGAGTGGTGGTCTTCATTTTGGAACACCATTTCTTGGAACATTCTTTGGGCGGGTGCAGCGCGTGCACGGCGGCGTTGCAGCGACCAAGCAACCTCTACGGGGACACACAGCAACCAAATCGTACCTTTTTCCGCCGCGGGTTGCCGCGGCTTGGACTTATTTAGCGTTCACTATTGCAGCTTTTAGTCACAGGATGATCGCCAGGTTGGGTCTGGGATTGTAGGTACTGCAGTGCAAGAGAATGCTAACATTGGATAGTCTACATGTCTTACCGTCGTTGGCTTGGCAAAAAAACATGAAGCCTTCCGGGTCTACATACATCTTGTTGCTCTAGGACCAAACGCACGTGTACCCCCCATTGGCCGGTAGTGCGGACATCATATTATATGTAGGTACTGGGCGGAAACCCGAACGAATATGGTGTGCAGTGTGGGGAATACAACGTCTATAACGTCAGGTGTTCGGTTCGGAGCATACCGAAACCCTTTACAGAAGAAGATGAATTTTTGATTCCTCTCTGGGTGGCGTGCTGCTGTAGAGGGCGTTTTAGGGGTTGCCGATTGGCCTGCTATTTTCTATCATTTTTTTTTTTCGAGTGGTTTGTAACCTATTTTTGTTTTGTTTCCCTGCGGCATCGTTCGTATGTGCCGGGTTTTGAGACCACGGGCTCCCCATTTTTTGTGGACTAAAGAACTAATGTGAGAAACAACAACAAACAACAAACAACATACATCTACTGCGTGGAAAAAATGCCGAGGTGTTGTTGTTGTTGTTGTTGTTGTTGTTGTTGTTGTTGTTGTTTTTTCTTCACATTAAGCTCGTGTCAGTTGCTTATCCCAAAATCAAGCAAAGACTCGATCCGTGGTCACAAAAATGCTAGAGCCGTCAGAGGATCTCAAGAACACACACACTATTAGCAAGAAAAGGGTACGCAAGCCCGAGGAGGTGCACCTGCAATCCCTTCAGCACGTTTGATTTCAATAGTTTTTTTTTGTAGTTTATTTTTCGGTGGTGGTGTCGGGGCGACACATCTGATCTACAGGTAAATCGAGATATATATATACAAACCAGGCGTCCCTCCGAAGTGGGGTATGAGAGGACCGGCGCGGCAGGGGGCGATGCAAATACATGCAAAAAACAAACAAACGCGGATATCGATCAAAGAGAACAACACTGACTGTTCGTTCGTTTCACACTCCGCATTTGCGGTGGTTCGGATGCTGCATCTCCAACCGCCGCGGATTCCAGGCCGCCAAACGATTAGAAATAAATTCAAAAGAGGCGTTGTGTAGCCCAGGAAACGCACACACACACCCTCGCCACAAGCGGGCGAACGAGCTTTGTATCGCGCCTGTAGAATCCAAACAGTATGTTGTAGGGTAGTGACCGCAGCGCAGCATCATGGTGTGTGTCTCACATTCCGAAGAAAAGAAGAGGCGACATGGATGGATGTGGATGAACTTCTTGTGAAGGTGGGACGGATCGAATGAATCCACAGACAGGAGCAGCACACGCGCGTGTATTGTGTGTGTTCAAACATTCAAAGATGGATGCAATCGTAAGTAAGCACGCACAACCAAACTATAACGCAGAGCTAGTACAAGCATGTACGTACTGCTGTGCTCCAACCACGACGGGATGGAAAAAAGTTCAAGTAGACGGGTGGTGAACGGAAAAAAATATGCATGTCGAAACGAACTCACGTCGGCCGCGACCTAGGTGCAGAACTATTTTGCCGTCATCGTTTGTTCCAAAATCGGGTACACCCGGTCCAAACACGGCCATCATCGGGTGCCCCTACTAGATGCTGCTGGAAGTGACCGCATGACACCGTCTGATTGGCCGACGCCCGCGCCTACCCGACGTTGACCGTCTTTCCATCGGGTGCACCCGATCTTGGCTACTCACCCTTCGGAGGAGTAGCCGGTTTTCCGTTCCCCTACTCGAAAATGGCGGGGCTGTTCGGCGAAAACCCACATGCACACAATCACGGGTAGGACTCACACCGCTGGCCTCTCGTTTGTCACCAATGAGAAAGCAGCAGTAGCAGATACATGTATTTTTTTCAGGGTAGTCTCGTGTGTGTCGCATGTCGTGAGTGAGGCATTCATCCACAGCTCTTCTCGATCATCTGCACCGGCCGCCCTGATGCCGCTTCCCTCAAGCGAGAGTTCCACCCGCCCGCCATCATAACGTCCGAATTCGAGGGCAAGGCATTGCTGACGTGTACTTGTGTGCACGGGGTTTGGCCGAACAGCCCAGCGATTTTCGGGTAGGGGGTGTACTCATAGTCGTGCATGCCGTAGTCGTTAGACCATTGACCTCGCATCCCTACAAAGCCGGGACGGAGCATGCCGGGTTCTCACCGGACCAGGTTCTATTTTCGGGTAGGGGAAGAAAAAACCGGGTACCCCTCTGGGGGGCGAGTAGCCAAGATCGGGTGCACCCGGTGGAAAGGTGGTCAAGGTCGGGTAGGGGTGGGCGTCGGCCAATCGTGTCATGCGGTCTTTTCCAGCAGCGTCTTGTAGGAGTACCCGATTATGGCCGTGGTTGGACCGGGTGTTCCCAATCCTGGCTACTGCCCTTCTACGTTCATACAACGTCGTTCTCCTTTGCTCGGTCCAACCTTCCGACTTCGTGCGAGCTGTTCTGCTGCGGGTCGTGGGTGCTCGTTAGCAACAGTATATACCACACATTGTGTGTTTGCCTGTGCTCCAGGAAGTGTGAGAGCCAGGGAAGTATAGTCTACGGTGAAAAATGAGCAGCTACGACCCGAACAGCAGAATAAAACAGCAGCAGCAGCACAACGGCACAAATGTCGGAGTCGATGACAGCAATAGACAAGATAAAGCCAACGAACGGGCGGCGCGTGTTGTTCTGAGGTGACAAGAGAGCAGATGGGACCGACCGACAAACAGCTAACCTCGCACCACCAATCAGCCGCGCTTCGAGCAAAAACGGCGTCCCACCTCTTGTATTGCTGCAGTACTTGAATCGCCACCCCGCTTCACTACGAGCGGTTAAGACCTTTCTCGCGGGCGAGCGTGTCTGTTGTGTTCCTCCACCGCGCCCATCCAGGAGTACAGACGGGTGTGTTTTCGAACTGCTGTGAAACGGAGACAGACCTGTGACCAAGCAAGGTGTTCTCGCTAATTTTCTCGCTCCCGCTGTGCTTGAAAGAAAGAAAAGAATGTTACGGCTGCTCTAAAGAACATGAAGGACCCAAAGTAGGGCAGCCGCCAGAAAACAGAACGGAGCAGAACCCGAACAGCCTCTCCTGCTAACGACCAGCCAACACAAATGTACAACTGTTCATATGTACAAGATGTTGATTTTGTTTGTGGTATTGTTTATTTTATCACATGTGCGTGTTTTCGTTCTAGGACGTACCCTTCCATTTTTTCCCTCCCTCTCAATACTAGACCCGCACGCACCCGTCTTCTTCCACGACGATGGCTCAAGTTCCGGCAGAAAAACTGTGCCCATCAATCAATGTCGCCGTTCGTCTGTAGGTAAATTCCCTCCCCGTGTTTTCTTTCTCATGTCTCACCATTATATCTGGGCGTCGTTGCGATTTCGCGTCGATGGGTGTACAGAGTCTTTCTTCGTGGATTCCGTCATGTTGTAGTACACTCTCAGTGGTCTTCGTGGCGTGACACATTATTAATGACATGCGTTTCAGTATTATTTACCGAGGGATAAAAACGGTATTTGGCAGGGCGTCAGTATGGCCAGACATCGCCCATCCAAGAACGTTTGCCTACTAGCGCGACGATCATGACTGGATTGGATACATACCTTCTGCGACGACCAAGCATACTCCAATGCGATTCGAACAACCGACATGTGTCTTGCACCTGTCACACGATGCTGCCCATGAGCAGATGCATGCTTGAGTGCCGTCATGCTGCGGTCGCCGTGCAAAATACCTTCGGGAGAATACCTTCTACATGGCACTATTTGATGAAACCGAAACGTAACGATTGACACGACCATACCCACCCCATTACCGGAAAATACAGAACGGGTCCGGAGAAAAGAAACGGCAACTTCGGGTCGAGCTTCGAATTCCTTTTTTGGGCAGAAAGATCAGCCGAAGTCGGCCATTTTCTTCGAACGGATTTCTGGTTCCTTGGGGCTGTCGCATGTTGCTGAATCTATTATTTTCTCGTTTCTGGCGAGGGAAACAACAACAACAACCCACCAAGCCTTCATGAGCACTTAACCGAAAGCTCGGTGTGGCCAACGTTGGAAGCTGTGGCAGTACAGCAGTACAGCAGCATTGGGTAGCGCAGCCCACGGCGGCGCTATGACACGGGGGGCGCCGGGAAAAAGATCACTGTCGCCCCCCCTGTGTAATAATTTTATGACATGAGCTATCGGTAGGGGTTGGGAGCTTGGCAGCAGCAGCAGCACTGGAACATTTCTTGTTGGACACGCTCCCGCAGCTACCCCTTTGTTTTTTTCTTGACGGTATCGCACGATCGTGTTTCTTATGGAGGCATTTCTTCTGTTGTAGCCGAGAATGAGCTGCGTTACTTAGCCCTTTTCCCTATTTTTCGTAAACATTTTGAGCTTTTGTCTTCAACAGAATTTTTCTTAGTTGCGGGGCCGTTCTGCAACTATTCAGCGCTTAGATTCCTGCGCATCGGGCACAAGTCTCACAGGCCATAGGAAACACGAATACAGACGGGTGAGTGATTAAGCGCAGCGGATTACAGCAGTAGTAGCACCTGCGGCAATGACGTCACTAGCAGAAGCAGACGTTGACGTACACCCGAAAAGCCACAGCGAGAAAATTAAAGTACCCGGCACATACTTCAAACCTTCAGGACAATGTAATGTGTCGGAGAAAAACCATTCCGAAGAGAAAAATGTTCGAAATCCTACATATGCATACACCGGTCGCCCCGGTGGTCTAGTGGGTAGCCTCGCGGCCTGCTAAGGGCCAGGTCATGGGTTCGAGTCCCGACAGAGTGAGTTTTCCTCGCAAATTAAATCCTGGTCTCCGTTGTTAGAAGCGACGCGCTGCAAAGTTGTTGGTCGTAAACTTCATCGACTTTTTAAGTCGCGAGGGAAGGGATTGCTGTAACCTTCTCGCGACAAAAATATTTCAGGCAGCAACAGCAGGAGGGGGTCCAACCCCCCCCTCCGATGTGACTCCGGTTGGGTCGTCTAGCTGGTAGAAGTGGAGGATAGGGGCCAGAAGGGCAGACGACAGAACCCAATGATGGGAGAAAAACAATACAAAACAAAACAAAAACGTAGCAATATGCAAATCGTTCGANTGAAAAGAATCGCGCATAAACGCATGGGTACATCGTGAGGCTCCTTGTAATTGAACCAGCTGCTGTGGGTGGGTGTGCACACAATAATCACAACAGCTGTGTGGGCGCGTGGCGCGGGGCACAAAAAAGATATGTTTTCAGTTTTCGTCCCGTTCAAGGAGGCCTTAATACCTTCGGATTCCCAACCCCTGGAAAAAGAGCTAGACCCAGCGGCTTGAGGTGGCCGTAACGCGCACAACCGTGTTTCGCGAGCCCCACACGTATCATCGCTGCCACCGACCCAAACCTCCGTAACTGCGGTTTTACAGCGTAACAGATGCCAGTAGTCACTGCTGTCGACCTTCTTTCAGGGAATTCCGGTCCGTGGCGGTGAGGATGTGACAAATGTTGGATGCCGTTTGGTTCCGGAGCAGATTTCGGACTGTTTCCAGAGACTGCTGCTACGTTAGATATTTCAGCTCCAGTAGCAAACCTGAACGTACCGGCACGCACGACGACGCCTTTTCGTGGTGCCCTCTACTGATCACATTAGAATGCGACATGCAACCCTGGCGTTTAGGTTGTACTTTCTCTTGCAGGATTCAAGTATGCGAGCAAGAGCCAGCGTCACAACCCCATTTCTGCACCAGAAATATTGGTTATCCCCTGCTGTTTCCCGCGATGTCTTATATCTCGAGTGTTCGTTCTGGACCGTTCTCTGCCCCTTGCTTGCATTTGTGCAGGACGACCGTAATGATCAAGACGAAGACGTCATGGACGATGGGGATCGTGCCCATCCTCCCAATCGTGCTACTTGCTCTTAGCGGCACCTCGGCCTCCGCCAGCTTCACTTTCAGGGGCAGGGACGCACACAACGAGGTACATCGAGCATTTTATTCCTCGATTTCGCGGCCTGGCGTCTTCAAAACGGTGTAAAACCAGATGAACGGGAGCGAAAATACTTCGCCACCAGTATAGACGACAGTATTTCGGCTGTCTTCCTCTCGTTTCAGTCCTTTCTTGGCGCAAAAGCCGGGGACATACAGGATTACCAATAACAACTCGCACGTAAGTGGCCGATGTAAAAGCGTTTTGTCGTGTGATTGGAAATATTTGTAGCCATCCTAAACGTGTGTTACAAAGCTCGTTACTGATTAGTCTATCGGACAAGTTTTACTCATTTTGTCGCGTGTTCACAGCGGCATATTGCCGCCGGCCAGCGCTGTTCACTCTAGCTGTTCATATGTATGTTGTCGTAGTGTAGAGGCCTGTCTGTGCATTCCGCTCGTGGTTGCATGCGGGTTCAGTTACTTCAGGTGAGGTACTGTATCACTTTTCTCAGAAGCCACACGTAGGCAACAATGCAGTCCGTGGTGTTCGACCAGTACAATATCACTGGGGAAGCCCGATTTTGGAATTTCGACTTGTTCATGTTTACGTCTGCACTACTCTTGGAACTTTGCATCCACACCAATGTTTGTATGGCAACCAAACGGGGTTTTCCCTGGCGCCTTGTGGAGAGGTACCTGGTTGTTCATCGAAGAGGTGTATCCCGAAGAAGGCAGCGCGGCAAAGGTTTGAAAATAAACGCGGACAATGCCCGACCAATGTTGAGGCTACGCGCGCTGCCTCGAACCGAAGGGTACGGTTGCTCCCGTTGAAGAAAACGTCGACGCATACCTAAACCTTGCGTACTTTGATTGTCTCCGTCAACAGGGAAACCTCGAACATGTGGCCGACGCCCAAACGATCAACAGCAGTGTGCGCAGCCTCCAGGCCGAAGGTGAAGGACACCGGCGCCGATTGTTTTGGCTTCATATCGGAATTTTTTGCCAGGCCCTTCTCCGCAGACCCAACAATGCGCAATACCGCCTTTCCTCGATCAACAAGAACATATTGTAGAAAATATGGGTGAAGTTGACACTCAATCTTGACCTACAGCGTCACTACGACGTAAACGGTAACCTCCAATGGTACGGATCCACATTTTGTACGACAGTCCAGTGCCCAAACGTCGAGTTGAATCTGGGCCCCTGTTAAAAAGGGAACGCCTCCAACGAAATACATTCTCTGCATGGAACAAACATATTCGCGCCGAAGTTCTCGTCATTAGCTTTCGCATAAGCATATGAGCGTTTCGTTCGTCCCGTGAATAACGGTGCGGTAAGGCTTTTGTTACCATTACAGGGAAGGAACTTTATCCCACCTTCGCCATACCTTGCTGAAATTACATGCGACCAAACTACTTACTGTTACTTGAATTAGTCCGGATTTGGATTCCGTAGGAACAAATCACTGTGGTTCCTTGCCACCAACCATTCCTTGATAACCAAAAAGAGTGAAAAGAACGCCCGCAGCGTTTTGTGTTGAGGTCGGATCGTAGGGAATTCTGAGGGGGGTTGGGTCGAATTTCCACACATGACAAGAAACATTTCAGGAGCTAAATCCAGCCCCTGAAATGTAAGCCGGTCTGTTTTATTGTCTCTACCCCAAGCGGCGGTACGTAGGTACATGATGCCTGCAGTTCCGCTTGCTCAAATTGAATGGAAGCTGCCGCCACTCTTCTCGCTGCCCCATCTAGCTTGTCCTGTGAAGTGTGCTGTGTTGCCAGCGTTACATACCTCAACAACGGGCATGGCATACAAACGAGTTTTGAAAATATGGGAAAATATTTATCTGACGACAACGTCGAATGGCCAGTGATGGTATCTTGTCGGCGTCCTTTCGCTTGAATTAAATTCTGATAAGCACCACCGCTCTGTTGTGAATGCTGTCTTCGTTCAAACCGAGCAGTCCCGATGTGCGATGGCGGAATTGTCGGCATTCAGGCGAGCGATGTGTGCTGCTCCGCAAGCTGCGGGTCTTGCGGAGGTTCCGGGTGCACTAGCAGAGACGGTGGATCGGAATCCTGCTGTGGTGGCGGAGTCAGGGCTTCCGGTCGATACTGCTCCATTACGGGAGAAGCACCCTGCATGACCGGTGAGTCAATAGGAACGTTCGAGGGTTGTTCGGGCGTCAAAATGAACAACTCACACCCCCGGTGTTGGTATCGTTAGTTTGCTCTCACACGTTGGTCTCTCGGGAACTGGGATTTTCTACGTACGTGTTGAAAAGGTAGTTATGTTGCGTGGTTTTAACTGCATCTACATACGGGAACAACCAAGGAGCGTGACACGGATCATGCTACATACAAATATGCAGAATGGTCGATGTGTCGTGACATATTTCTTAGGGTTAGTATGAAAAGAAAAAAATGCCCGGCCTTAATTTGTGTTTGAACAACAGTTTGGACCAGACACCGGAAAAGGTTCACTTTCCGCGGGGGCCGATCCTTCACCCTCCTGTGTCTCTCGCTCGTCGCGAACGTCTTCGCGTCTTGACGTCGTCATTCGTCTCGATACACCGCTATATTGTACTCTTTTGTGCTTTGTTCTTTCACTCCTAACTTCCCCTAAACCCTCACCGTTAGCCATCCCGGTGTTGTCGCCCGCCCCATTGGGGGGCGGGGGGGCGGTCCTTTGCCCGAGTTCGTGAAACGGATAGCCACAGCAGGAATCACGGGTTTCCCCATAAAAACCCGTTAGAAAAACACGCTTAGCCTGCTTTCCGGGAAAAAAGTGACGGAAAAAGTAATACCCGGTGGACGGGCGGCTCGACTTGTGCCTGTTGAGGAGAACCGACGGTTTCTCAATGACGGTGCCTTTGAACCACTCCATGATGTCGGCTCGTCTGCGCCACTTGGAGATGAAATTCGTTCTCTGGCACGTTCTCACCTCGCCTACGCTGCAGACGCGGGGATGAACGAGTGGGAGGCGACATGCTCAAACCCCTCGACAAAGGTGACGAGGCGTCACTGCTGACTTCCTGCGTACCTCTTGCACGTGCACGCGAGGTAGGGACCACGTCTACGACCAAGCTGGAGCTGCTGCCGGAGTCGCTCTCGTCTCCGGTCGCACTGCTGTCCATGCAACCACTCAGGGACGCCCCCTCCTCCTTCTCCTCCTACCCACTCACAGACGGCCGGGCTTTTGCCGCCTGGGCTCCTGCCGCCTCGCGCTGAGTCGCGATCCTCTCCCCTCCTCCAAGAGGACCTCCTACCTCGATCAAAGATGATACAGTTCAGAAAAAACCGCGAGCTGCTTTTCCGCCGCACGCGGGCACCAAGAACCTTCTCGCGCGCCCGAATACCGACCCAACAACTGCACACACGTTGCTGTGAAAGAAACCCCAGTCTCCGCTGCTCAGCCTTCTGCGCAGGGAGCGCTTGATTGCGTGTGCTCGTACGTGCCGCTTCGTCCCGTCCTCGACGGAATAAGTTGCCGGCGTATTTCTTCCGGCCAAAAAAAACTTAAAATCCTCAACAAAAAACCCGGTGGATTTTTCCGTCGGGACCAGGCTCAGACGGAAAATAATCGCCCAAAAGAAAAAGTTGGCGGACGGGGAAACCCGGGAATATTTAACATTTCAGCGAACCATGTATTCAGCTGGAACGGATTGTTGTCGTGGAACACTGCCCAACACTTCGAAACCTCTCCCAATTATTCAGGCGCGGCCCCTACGCCGGAACCTACGCCGGCCCCTACCCCTGCTCCGACACCTGAAAGTAAGTCGTACTCCCTTGTCGGTTTGTGTGAAAACGTACAGGAAACCTTCAGCATTGTACGCACACCTGAAAAGTAGTGTCCACTGTAAGCGTCGTGTTCTTCGTGGCTCCTCGAAACTGCACGTGGTTTGGGCGACAGCTCGATGTCCTAAGTTTGAGAATGAAACAGTAACTGGTTGACCCGGGTTTTGAGTGCCCCATCATTGCCCGTCTAAGAATGATGCCTGTCGTGCCTATTCGAGACTCTTCTGATCAAGGTCGGCGCTTTGTGGGTTGCATCTGGAGGAGACAACCGTTGTTTTTTTGCCCCGACGTCTCTCACCGTCCTGTCTCGAATCTGTGAGCTTGCTTTGCTTGCCTGACTGACTTTGAACATTGACTATCACTATATTTATCCGAACATAGGCTTCAAGCTGGAAAAACCCACCCAAAACACGCCGGGTCGCGAGTAGTGCGTAATTGAGTAATAGGGACGTGTGATCGGCGTTTTCTCACTTGATCCTCATTTCTGAGGTGGCTGTGTGTCGAATGCCGTCTTCGTCCAAACCGAACAGTCCCGATGTGCGACGGCGATATTGTCGGCATCCAGTCAAGCGATGTGTGCTGCTCCGCAAGCTGCGGGTCTTGCGGAGGTTCTGGGTGCACTGGCAGGGACGGTGGATCGGAATCCTGCTGTGGTGGCGGAGTCAGGGCTTCCGGTCGGTACTGCTCCATTACGGGAGAAGCGCCCTGCATGACCGGTGGGTCAATATGAACGATGAACGCTTGTTCGCACATAGAGGTGGTATACTTGCAGTTTGGTAACACACTATCCTTAGAGCCTGTTCCTCCAAGGCCGATCACTACTAAATGTGAAAATGTCCCCTCCCGTCCCTTCGTCTGATGTGGGAGCGAGTATATTGAATGGTCGAAACTTGATCCAAATGCTGGAGATACAAATAAGTGTAGGTTGCTCACCAGAAGTGAACGGGCAGCCTCAACTGGATAACCGTAAATGTCTTCTGTAGAGACCACTTGTGTGCTTCCAGGCTCATGTTGACATAGCACTATTGTACCCCGAAGCAAGCCCAGTTGCTGATCTCAAAGTCCGCTTTACCACCATGTATTCAATCGAACGTCATATTACAACACTAAGCCAACAGCAGTCGATTCGAACGCCTGCCCAAATTGTGGAAGCAGGCCCGGCCCCTACCCCGGAACCTACCCCGGCCCCTACGCCACCCCCTAATGTTGAAGGTAAGCGGTGCTTCCTTGCCTTGGGTTCAAAACTACTGTACTCCTACAGGATCGCAAATGTATGTTGTCGACCTGAACAACGTTTATGTGCACGACGTCTTACTATAGTCGCGGGTCGTTTGAAACTTCTATGTGTTTGGTGGTGCAGCTTCGATTCCGTACAGTGATCTTTGGAAGCACCCTAGCGATGCTCATGTAGCATGGACTTCTGTCGCACCTATTTGGAACGATTCGGATGTAGTCAGCGCCCTGCATGTGCTTAGTCACAACGACGGGCATCGACTGTTCAGCTGATGCGCACAAGTGTGGCGTTGTCTCATTTGAACTGACGTCTACGATGGCGTCTGTGATTTGAATTTTGTCTCATGCAAACCGAGCAGTCCCGATGTGCGACGGCGGAATTGTCGGCATCCAGTCAAGCGATGTGTGCTGCTCCGCAAGCTGCGGGTCTTGCGGAGGTTCTGGGTGCACTGGCAGGGACGGGGGATCGGAATCCTGCTGTGGTGGCGGAGTCAGGGCTTCCGGTCGGTACTGCTCCATTACGGGAGAAGCGCCCTGCATGACCGGTGAGTCAATAGGAACGTTCGACGCTTGTTTGCACTTACAGACATCTTCGTTAGAGTTTGCTCCTCCGACGTTTGTCCATTGATTACTGCATATGAATGCATGCTATCTGTTGTCCGTCTACTCCGTCTTGGAGAGGTATATACCAAATAGTTGATGCTTGATCCACATGCTGGAGATAGCAACCAACAATATTGCTCCGAAGAGTGATAGCCGGCAGCCACAACTGGATAAACTATCATTGGCAGTAACCGTAACTGTCCTTTGTCGAGACCAATTCTCTGCTTCCATCAACTTCTTGACACAACAGTGTAATACCCCGAGCTACCAACAAGCATCAGTGAAAACAAAAGTCCAATTTCTACAGTATGTTGAACACTGCATTTCATGGAACGAGAACTTCCTTACTAAATAAAACAGGCGCTGCCCCAACGCCGGCCCCTACGCCAGCCCCTACGCCACCTCCTACAGTTGAAGGTAAGCGGCGCTCCGTTGATGCGTTGCCTTCAAAAGGACAGTACCCGTCAGCATCCCATGTATATGTTGGTGTCGTGATATATATATTGATGATTTTCGTGATATAATACCTGGTAGTGGTCAGATCATCAGTAGACCGACAGTCTTCAGGTAGCTCATATAGCTGTGGCGCCTATCGCGCCTATTCCGAATGATTTCGGTGTATTCTTAAGTCAGCGCATGTTGTGAACAGCAGGGCACGTAACGACCTTTTGGCTGATGCGCACGTTGCCCCGACGTTTCGCACTGGCACGTTTTGGATATCTTGAGTGCTTTTTCTTGACTATCATATCATATCTCTAAATGATTGCTACCACCGAAAGGTGCGAAATCAATTTAGTGAAACAACACCCCCACGATTACGCCATTACCCAGTGAGCTTTTGACCATAAATGTCGTCTTGGTATGTGTTGTCTCACTTGAACTCTCCTCTACCAAGCAACACCGCTGCTTTTTTTTATCCTAAACGAACAGTTCCGAAATGCGACGGAGGGATTGTCGGTATTCAGGCGAGCGATGTTTGCTGTTCCTTAAGCTGCGGGTCTTGCGGAGGTTCTGGGTGCACTCTCAGGGACGGTGGATCGGAATCCTGCTGTGGAGGTGGAGTCAGGGCCTCTGGTCGTGATTGCTCTGTCACGGGAGAAGCACCCTGCGTTGTGACAAGTAAGCCGATTCAAGTGAAAATGTACATGTGCATGCGGGTAACTATCGAACGCACACTCTTGGAAATACTCACTGTCGAGGCAGCAGCTAGTGTTCCTCGGAGTTTGGCTCCTGTAAAACTGCATCTCACTCGATCTGGTGGAGGCATGTTGAGCGATTGATAACTGAGGTACGTTCCAACACGCGTACTATGCATGCGGAAAGCGGAAACGGCCGGCCACACGCCGGACATCAGGGTCATCGTGAGCAGGACTTGTACTGTGCAGCTGCCACTCTTTTCTTTCAGGCACCAGTTGATCAACCAGTGTGAGACATCCACGTGAGCAAGCCTCAAGTTAGGAAACCAAACAGCTCTCTACTTGCTTCAGCGTATTTAGTCGACCGTCCTCTTCTAGAAACACCGCACCACAAGATAATTACGCACGAACGCTCAAATTTCGGAACAGGCCCCGCCACGACTCCTACGCCTACGACCGTCACGAATTCACCGGCTACTACCCCGGCCCCTACAACGGTCACGCCGTCGACGGTCGAGCCTTCGCCGGCGTCTACCGTGGCCACAAGTGAACGTGGTCCTATAACGCCCTCCCCGCTGACCCCTACCCCGGTCACGCCGGCCCCTACCGTAGTAGCCACTACCGTGGCCCCTACCGTGGCC